AAGGTAGGATAATTAATCATTCCATCACCTAAGAGTAACTATTTTGGTGTGCACTACAGTTTTAATACGGTCTGAACCCTCTAAAACTCATGTTGGAATTTAATCCCATTGTGAGACACTAAGAGGGTAAAAAGTTAATGAAGCTAATATTTTTATTATTGGTTTTTATTTATAAAATTATATTTAAATAACATTTTTCATTTATTTTACATATGGACCACAGTTTCCCCCTCCCTCCTCTCTTCCCACTACCCCCTCCCCCAGTGAGAACTTTATGAGGTAATTTGGACTAAAGAAAATTCTAGAACAGAACCCTGTGATAAAATTCCGGGGTTTGAAAGGAATGGAAGATAACAGATGAAATAAACATACATATAAGCTTTTTCACTGCCGTGCATATCTGCAGCACTTTAAGACTCTGCCATCATTAGACACAATCCTCAACCTTGGACCTCCAGAACAACGGGCCCAAATAAACCCATTTTGCTCAGATTTGTCTGGTTTGTGGGATTGTGCTGTTAGCAACAGCAAATGAATAGTAGGATTTCACCTGCCTCAATAATATGCCTTGTGTCAGGCCATTGTGAAAGGGATAATTCATCTGAATTGACAATACCACATCTTTTCATCCCCTTCATTTGGGCTGCACAGTCTCATCAGTAAGGGGATGGACTGAGTAATTGAATCTGCTTTTTGTCAACATGAACTGATCCTTGGAGATCATCACTTTACGTTTCGTTCTCATAATGATATATATTTGACTGTTCGGCTATAATTTGCCCAGGGGTTGTTCACAAGCCTCTGAATTTCATTCCCCATTCTTACCTACTCCTTTTTGGAAATGAGAAAAAGGCATACCTTCCTTTCAATGGGCTATCAAAGACTATTCAGGAACCCCTAGTAACATCTGCATGCTATTTGAAAGCTTGGGATCTCAGGCCTGAAATCCTTTAAAGCTACTAAACGTTGTTGTTATGATAAATCTTTCCACCAAAAGCCATCCAAGCCTTTTACTTCCCACAGGACTCCACGAGGTTACCGTTGTCCCATTTTAGCAGGGAGTAACTTGGAGGATACTATGCCCCCTTCCTCCATTATTGTCTATTAGGGTAGTGGAAACCTAGTTAGGGATAGCTTACTATTGTTTATGGTTGGTATCTGAAGGAGGTGTTCAGGCTTGGACACCTCTTTTCAGATGACCTTAGGGTTTAGGGAATGTAGACATAGTTAGGATGTGTCATAGCAGATTATTGTATCTTTTTGTATTTCACCTTTATGATTGTTAATTTTAGATACTTTACACTGTTAAGCTTCAATGCTCTTTTAGACTAAAAGGGAAATTGTAGGGGACAGTGTAAGCCACAACTGCTAGAAGCTGGCTACAGGTGTGCCTGACCGGAATGTAGACATAGTTAGGATGTGTCATAGCAGATTATTGTATCTTTTTGTATTTCACCTTTATGATTGTTAATTTTAGATACTTTACACTGTTAAGCTTCAATGCTCTTTTAGACTAAAAGGGAAATTGTAGGGGACAGTGTAAGCCACAACTGCTAGAAGCTGGCTACAGGTGTGCCTGACCATGTCTGTCACGGTGAGGTCAGAATGATGAGTGACAGTTTTTAAGGGGCTGCAAGGCACATGGGAGCCCCTTCTCTCTGGCCTGCCTACCTTGCTGCCCAAGGCACACTCAGGCTTACATTTATTTGGCTGGTGTTTTTCTAATAAAGGTTATCTTTATCCCAAGCTCCTTTTATTTCTCAATACATTGTCTTTCTAAGCTTTACCTTTCTTGGCAACTGTGTTACTCCAATTCATTACTCAGTTTTCATCTCATACAGGACTTTCTGACGAGGATACAGTTTTGCACAAAGGACTTCATAGTAAAATGGAACAGACAGAAATACAGTAAGTTTCAATGCCATAAGATCCTCAGGGGTGTTGTGGGCAGTACCAGGTGCAGTGGGTTTGAATTTTAGAAAGAACCTCCTGGCCACAGTGGAGAATGGGGGTTCTCACACCAGAATGTGTAGGAGTTACTTGGGAATTCATCTAAAGGGCAATTCTGACCTAGCCATCTGCTGAGGGAACTTGGGATCTGCTCAAATTCCCAAGTGATATGGATGCTGCTAGTTCATGCAAGACACCTTGAGAGCAAGGCTTCACACAGTCCACTAGGGGACAAGAAAGTCAGAGGCAAAGCGTTCATTGGAAAGGTTTGGTTGGACTTTCAAAGGGAGGTAATGCTAATGCAAACCATAGGAAATTTGCTTCATTCTTCAAAGTTCATAGTTTGATCTTCTTTGTGAAGTCATTATACTAAGTAGGTATGGAATTTTTATGTAATAATATTACAATTTGAATTTAAGAAAGAGGAGTGGAAATGTCTGTTGCAATCTTAATTATACCAGCTGCCCCCTTTCCCCCGTTGTCTTATTTGTGGCACAGATGGCTGGTTAATATGGCCCAAATTGTGTTGCCACAAAGATTACTATGCTTAAGTTTTAAATCTTAAACCTCAGAATATGGCTTCATTTGAAAATCAGTAGATCTAATGTGTGTTTTTTTTTTTTTTTTTTTTTTTTGTGTGTGTGTGTGTGTGTGTGTGTGTGTGTGTGTGTGTGAATATTGTGGGCCCATAACCCAGTTGATTGCTATCCTTTTAAAACGGGGATTACAGGTACAGCTATGGAAAAGCCACAAAGTACTGAGTGCCAAATGATAAGTAAGGGTGTACAGGACACATGAAAAGCCTATCTTGGCACTTCTAGAGGGAGCTCATCTGGATGCTTAATTAGGTGTTGGATCTCTAGCAGCACTACTGTGAGAAAAGAAATTCTGTGGTTCCTGGTACATTTACAGAGTAATAACTTGATCTTCAAGTTTGACTTGATGCTTCATCTTCAACAATGTCCTATAGGAAGTATCAACTAAATACACTTATACTTCTTTTCATTATTCTTTGTGATTTTCTTTAATTAAGTTTTTCCCTTGATGACAACCCCTCTGTTTTTTTTTTTTTTTTTTTTTTTTTTTTTTTTTTTTTTTTGTTGTTAAGCTTCTTAAGCAGATTTTTACTAATTGGTTCAACTCAAAGACACACCCTTTTCAGCTTCTGCAACCCTGAGTTAAGGCATTTGGGGACTTGGGGGACATTATGGCTGTTGATTTGCTTTACTCAGCAACAAGCAGGCTTTTGACAACTGTTTACTTTTAAACTGCAGAAGATGATTCTAGCTAATTGCCTTGTGGTATTCTAGCAACAACAGAACTAAGGTCACAGAAAACTTACCTTAATATAAAATGCTACCACTTTTCTAGTGTCTCAGGAACAAGAACTATGGCTTTTACTTTACAATTTACTTAATGTACCCTTTACTCCTTTATTATTTAAATTAAGCAAGGGTTCCTCCTCCCTTTCCTTTTAGAAACAAGTTATATTTTTCATTATTAAAATAAGAGGCTTTGAATGGAATGAGGTTAATCAACCTTAGGAAGAAGAACTAGAAGTATAGTGATGTTTTCTTCCTGGTAGATGTGGGCTCAGTGCCTAATTCTCTTTGCCTTTCTCACAGTGGCTGGGGATTTGTAAAAGATCTTAAGTGGTTACTTACCTCATCACAGTTTTTAGTCAATTAAACGGAAGATATCCTGCTTCTTGGGCATGAAATATAAAGGCAAAGGCAATCATTTCATAAGAAGGTATTTGGTTTTTGTTAAACAATTTGTATCCTTGGAAAAATATACTTCAATAACAATTGCAGAACCATTTGTTAGGCACAGGAGATATCCTGGGCACTGCGAAATGCTCACACACTTTTCTTAATCCCATTAACAACCTACTAGACAGGTGCCATTAAATTTCTGCTTTGTAGATATAGAACAAAATGCCAGACATATTACCACACTTTTGCTATTTCAGCATACCAGGAAAGAACAGGACTAGGATTAAACTCCCATCTCTCTGCTCTGTAGAGATCTCAAAATCATAGACCCCCTGCTGACATGCTCATTTGTCTACAGAGATCTCAAAATCATGGGCCCCATTTTGACATGCTCACTTCCTAGTCTACTCCTGACAACATACACGTTGGAATTGCTCTGGTGTGACAATGCTGGCAGTGGAGAATCAAAAGCAATTGATATTGTTAATCCATTTTGTTAATATTGGTCATGGGATCTGCATTCAAAGATTCTGCCTCAGTTTGTCTTGAGTTGGACTCCAGATGTTCATTTTTAAGTATGCTTTTGGTGATTGTCTTTTGAGTTGAATAAGTATTACTTCCTGTAGCTATGTTCAGTGGTGCAATAGAAGGAAAGAACCAAAGAAATCATCTTTGGAGGGAAAGGAGACTAACTACTGACTTGCCTCAAGACAATAGGTCTAAATGATATTCTTTTCTTTTGCAAACCACTAAAACTCTAGAAGAAAGAGGTTAACATGCTCTTCTCTGCAAATACCTAGTTAACTTCAGAGATGTCCAAATGATCCTCCTCAAATGAGCTGACATTAAGGGAAGGGAAGAAAGACATGCTGGAAATGCTCTAAAAAGTTTGCTTAGAGAGGGAACACATGCAAGAAGAGTAAATGAAAACCTTACAAGTTGTGATTCATTTATTAATCCCACTCCTGTAATTCACAACAAATTGACTAATAGTCTGCCTCCCTGTCTCCCTCCCAACACCAAATTACTGCATGTAGTAGATTACAAACTTGACTAGGAGAAGCAGCAATAGTCCATTAATATTTATAAGTGTCATAATGCTCACATTTCCCATCTATTTGGAAAATCAGCCCAAGTAATTAAAGAGAATTGGGGAATTATAAAGATGAAAATATCAGAAAAATTGCTCATGGAGTTATCAACACTGTTTTATTTCAACTTTTACATCCTAATGACTTAATTTTGCACAGATGGCACTTTTGAAATTTCTTAGTTAAAAAAAACAATTTCATTATTATCCAAGAAACACAGTCATTTTTCAGAGAGGAAACTTACATCTTTGGCTTTTCAACGATGAAGTGAAAGTATTTACTTCCAATGATTTTCACTATGATCTCTGGCATTTCCTCTGATCTATGGGGGGTCTTCCAAGCTGAAGACATGGTCCCTCTCCAAATATTGTCAGATCCCTAGGGGTGGAAAATAAATAGGTCCTTCCTCTTGATTTCTCACCAACAACACCAACAATAGCATCAGGACCTACTGGCATTATTACTGTGAAGGTGTTATATAGACTACTCCACTATAGCAACTAAGTTAAGTATGGGATAGGTAGGGTGTTAGTTGGGGGGGGGGAGCAGGGGAGGAGGGGAGGCAGAAGGAACTGGGATTGACATGTAAAACAATCTTGTTCTAATTTAAATAAAAAATGGAGAGAAAGAAAAAAGATACTTGAAAACATCAGGAGGAACAGAAAGATCATTCCATTCCATGATTTTCCCTAAGAGCAGAGGATGAAATTCTCACATGAAAGATATAACATCCTTGTCCTTTGAGAAGTCAAGACTAAAACAGGTCTGACAAACCTTGTTAAAATAAAAATAACTGTCTTCAAACCTTCCCAAATCATACAGTTGCTCTATTGCAACTATTCCTTATCTGGTTCTGACATAAGCAATTTATTCCAAATATGTTTTTGGAGAAGTCTCAGTTCCTTATTGGGAGTGGGGTAGAAGCTTCTGTGCTATGCAGAGAATCACATAGTGCACATGCTTCCTTCTCATTAATTCTCAGGATATTCAGGGCTTAGGAAGATTAGGTAAAAGGCTGTCACCCCTGTACCTCACTCAACATTCCCAATAAAAGTGCCTTTTACATTTTAAAATTTTCATTCATTCATCGTGTGTGTGTGTGTGTGTGTGTGTGTGTGTGTGTGTGTGTGTGTGTGTGTGTATGTGTGTGTAAGAACCATATGAAATCTGTTTTCTGCTTCTACAATGTGTTTCCCAAGAAATGAACTTGGGTTGAAAGGCCAAGCCATCTCCCCAGCCAGTGTGTGAGGCACTCATAACTGTGACCATCCTTGGTTTACCATCGAGGGAAGAGGTATGTGTAGCTAGAGCTGTCAATTCCAGAAGGACTGCAAAGCACACATACTGAGTCCTTAGGCAGCTACATCTTTTTTCACTAGAGGGATTGGGGTGGGATTGTCCTGAGGCCAGAATAGAAAGCTAGGCTTCAGTACAACACTTGAATCAGCAACCAGCTCTGATCCTTCCTTTTGCCATCTGCAATTCCTGTTATTCTCAGAGACTTTGGTGAATCCAGAAGACAAAGTGTTTAAGGAAGCATTGTACTTTGAAAAAGTGTTTCGTTAACTCCGGTCTGTATCCACAGCTACCAGACTCTGCAACTGAAAACTTGCTTTCGATAAGACCAGGGTGTTTAAGCGGGAGTAATGATAGGTGAACCTGGCTGATCACTTCTTTTCAGAAAACTCAAGAGACCTCTAGAACTTACTCTAATTTAAACACTGGTTTTACCGATTGGGAAATCGAAGTCCAAATGGTATCTTACCAAAGTCTTCCAGATTGGAGGGGCAAGAATAGAGAGGGTAGAGGTCTCTCCAGTGTTCTGTTCTGATAGCTACAACAGGTCCTTCCCAAGATTCCAGTTCACTTAATGTGAACAGTACTAAAGCCCAGAAGAGACCCCATCTAGCCAACCGCAAGCTCTTCGAAGCTATGAGTGTGGAAAGCCAAAACTGGAATTTGAAACTATCAGGTTTCCTATTTGCCCTGCAGTGGGCCATCAGCCTTGAGACCATTCCCAGGAGGGACCAGAGGGGCAGGCAGTCTTACCGCCAAACTGTTGTTTCCTACAGGAGGAGGTTCAGAGGTGTGAGTGCTTCTGTCTAAAGGGCAATCCAGAATGTTGGCAAGGAACTCCAGAACCCAGCCAATCACAGGGCCTGGATCACCGCAGAAGCCTTGCAGCCTGGTTGCTAAGGACGCACAGAAGCTGTTGCTCGGCTGGAAGTAGATTTCCCCTCACCAGTGGTGGCAGCCAGTCCTGGGGGTGGGGAAGGGTCAAGTGTGCCAGGGTGTGGCTGCTGACAAGAGGGCACTAAAGTTTTGAAGTCTGTGTTGAAGGTTCCTGAGCCTTTCAGGAGCACATCGTGCTCACCTCTGGACTGATGCTGCCCTGCTCTTCCACTTAGGCTTCCTTCTGCTTTCTGAAACTTGCGCAAAGTTGGAATATTTAGACTAACTCATGCTTCAGGTGGCTTTGGGTAAACTTCTTTGCTCTAGGATTGTTTCCTGCTGTACAGTGATGCAAACAAGGAACAAACAAGATGATTTGGTGACATTAAATAAGATTATAACCTTTGGAGATGTTGGAACTCAATTGATAGAGTACTTGCCCAATCTGCATGAGGATCTGTGTTTAATCGCTAGAATGAAAACCTGGATTCCATCCTCAACAATGCATAAACAAGGATGGTGAAGCCAAGAACTCAGAGAATAGGAGGACCAAAAGCCCAAAGTCATTCTTGGCGACCTGTTCCACTTAAGTCTGGACTACATGATATCCTGTTAGAAAATAAATAAAGAAACAAAATTCTAATAATAATCTTAAATGCAATCTATATGCAAGATCTCTTATTTGAGCCAGGTTATTGACAACTGCCAACTTAATATTTTACTTTTATTTTTTTCTAAAGGACAAGCAATTGCAGTTTGTGCATTGTGAAATTACAAAGACTCCACAGAGGCAAGTGAAGGAGCTCAGCTGTCACAGGGCCTCTCTGCTCATGTCTCAAACATCTCTTCAGGTATAGAGGCCCATGGTTTGCAAAGTTTGTTCTCAAGGAAGATCTCTCCACTCCAGCTTAAACCGTGCACTTCGTGTTTGAAAAACTTCTGGAGCAGTGGTTCCCAACCTTCCTAATGCTGTGACCCTTTAATACTGTTACATTATGGTGACCTACCACCATAAAATTATTTCATCGCTACATCATAACTGTAATTTTGCTACTGTTATGAGCCATAATGTAAATATGTGATATTCAGGAGATCTTATATATGACCCCCATGAAAGGGTTGTCTGACCTTTAAGGGGGTCCCAACCCACAAATTGAGAACATCTGCTCTAGTGGCTAGCATATCAAGTAGCATTGAATTTACTCAGTATAGCCCTTCTACTGGATAACTTTTCCATCTAACCCAGATTTCTAGGTTCTCTGTCATGTGTTCAAAGTCTGTAAATGTGGGTAATGACACTTTAAGTTGACTCCAAAATGGTATCAATGTATCAGCTCCAGCATGCAAGGACCTGCCTTCAGCCCCTGGCTGTGCTGTGTTTGCAGTTTTACTGCAGTGTCTGCTGCCAATTGCAGGCAGAGAAGGATGGCCTTAACTCGGGACCTCACTTTCTGGAGGTCAGGAGACACAGAAGAATTGTGCCATGGGAAAAAAAATAGAAGGGCAACTCCCTCTCTCCCGTCTGCAGCCCTCTGCAGCCCTGATTTTACATTTTAGACTGCCCAGCCTTCCCAAGGCCCAGCTCTATAGGACATCTCCTCTATTCATGTCTCAAAGATCTCATCAGCCCCAGAGGTCCATGGTTTGCATATTTTGATCTCATTCCAGGCTTAAACTTAGCAATTTCTATTCAAACAAACCTCTAGTGAATAGAACACCCCCTGGAATTTGAGTCCCAATACAAGTTTCTATCCTCCTGGATAAGTGATCTTTGTGGGGCTGTCACTTAAATTGTTCCTTCAACAGTACGTCTTCCTTCAACAGTTCAGACTATTGATCAATAGACTTTAGAACCCATGGAGGCCTGATCTGTGGTTTGACTACTAGGCGGTGAGGATGGATGTTGAGATTTTTGGTGCATGTTTGTATTAACATGTTCTGTCAGGAAAGCTGGTCAACAGAGGGAAGCCAAGTTGAAAATGAAACAAGTGGAAAAGAGAGGCCAGCACAGAGCCTGGGGATAGCTGGACCTGAAATGGGATCTAGGGATATCAGAAACAGGTGGGAACAATTTCCCTTTTGCTGAAGATATTTTGAGGTAGACCATTAATATTTATGCCTGAAATCATCATTGCTTCTTTTAAATATTTCCTTTAAAGTCCATATATAGGGCACAGTTAATTGGATGATGTGGTGGTTTGAATAGGTATGGCCCCCAAAGACTCTTGTGTCTGTATACTTGGCTTTTAGGGAGTGGCGCTATTAGGAGGTTGGCCTTGGAGCAGGCATGGCCCTGTTAGAGGAAGTGTGTCACTGTGGTGGCGGGCTTTGAGGTCTCATATGCTCAAGCTACATTCAGTTTGGGACACAGTTCACTTCTTGTTGTCTACAGATGAAAAGTAGAACTCTCAGCTCCTTCTCCAGCACCGAGTCTGCCTGTATGCTGCCATGCTTTTAATGGACTAATCTTCTGAAAATGTAAGTCACCCCAGTTAAATGTTTTTCTTTATAAGAGTTGCCATAGTTATGATGTCTCTTCACAGCAATAGAAACCCTAACTAAGATGGCATTTTCAGAGTCACAGTAAACTCTGGTGTGAAGCTTGAAGGAGCAGTAAATTATGTCCTTTAAGTTTATAGGTTTTACAACTTCAACTAATGACATTTGCAGGATCAGTTGGGCCCTTTAACCAACTTAGTTGTTGTCAGATGAAATTTGATATATTTTTTTAGACCCAAGGGAAGTTCTGCTTTGCCACTTCTGTACCCGTGAACATGAGCATGCCATTTAACTATCTGTAAATTAGAGAAAAAAATGACTGTTTCAGAGTTGCACACTAGTGTCTTGGAAATATCCCTGAACCAGTAATGGGCTTACAATTGACTATGCATTTATTTATAATAATTCTAAGAACATGGTGAATATTTATCATGTGCTAGAAACTGTTTCACCATCAAAACTCTTTGGTAATAGTCATAACAACTTTATAAAGACTATTAATACTCTCATTTTAAAGAAGAGATAGCTGACCTTAACAAAGACACCTTGCATGTGAGAGTGAAGCTGGGAAGTCAGAACTGTAAGGAAAGTCCAGCTGACTCCAGGAATCATCAGCTCTTCCCCACAGTTCCTCTCTGGATATTAGATGTTGTCATTACAATTGTTAGTGTTAGTGTTCT